GAGGAGGCACTGGGCAGAGGTCCCACTGGGGGGCACTGGGGACCACTGGGGGGCGCTGGGGAGGTCCCACTGGGGGGCGCTGTGGGCAGAGGTCCCACTGGGGGGCGCTGGGGACCACTGGGGACCGCTGGGGAGGTCCCACTGGGGGGCGCTGTGGGCAGAGGTCCCACTGGGGGAGGGGTGCGTCGCGAAAAATAAAACGGTCGGAGCTCTAGACACCCTGTGCAAGATAATAAAACATAATATCAACACTACTAGTACTACCACTGTTATTATTATTATTATTATTATTATTATTATTCTTCTTCTTATTATTATTATTAGAATTATTGTCATTATCATTAATAATAATACTACGAATCATCATAACACTTAGAAGAAGAAGCAGCTCGCCGGGCCAGAGAGCTTCGAGACTCGGCGGAAGGGCCAGCGAGTCCTCCGCGTGGCGGCTATTGTATACAGCTCTAAGTCTGGAGGCTTGATTTTTAAGGAGGGAGTCCGGCTTCACAACTCCTCCAATTTCGTCCATGACTGGGGGCCGTCTTCCAGACTATCTGCCACTGCCTGGAGGAGCACCAGGAGCAGGTTCGCACGAAGACCGAGGGCCTGGTGGAGAAAGGCAAGATCCAGGGCGACTTCGACCTGGAGCGTCCCTGGGAAGCCGCACTCTCCTACACGCCTCACGACACTGGGCAGGACTCGCAGTGGTGGAAGATCCACCTGGAGCACCCATGCCCGACAGGGAAGCCGGGCGGCCGCTCTCGCACGTCGGAGGTCCAGTGCGGCCCGTCGGCCGTCGACCAGATCGAACGGCAAGTCGACAAGCGGGCCTTGGACCACCGCGGCGACGGCTCCGAGCGCCCCGCGGGTGCCGGGTCGAAGAGGGCCAAGGAGGCCAAGACCCATTGGCGGCAGGTCTGGGACAACCGCGTTTGGGCCCGCGTGGCCAGCGCGGCGGCGCGAACGATGGAGGCGCTGGCGCAGAGCGGGGGACTGCGGTTCGACCTGTACGTGGACGACCCGGCGCTGTCGGCGCGCGGCCCGCCGAACGGCGTGCGAGCGAGAACTGGAACTGGCCCTGCAGTGGTGGCTCGTTCTCGGGCTGCGCATCGCGTGGAAGAAGGGCCGCCGCGCGCGCGGCCCCCACCCCCACGGGGGCCTCAGTCCGGCCCTGGGGCGCGAGTGGATCGGCATTCGCTTCGCGATGGCCGATGGCTTCGCCATCGTGAGGCTCGCCCAGGACTTCATCGATGAGCTACTGGTGCTCCTCCGCCACTTGATGGCTAAGAGCGGCCACGCGCCGATCAAGCAGGCGCGGTCGTCGGTGGGGAAGGCGGCCCAAGTCGCTCAGATCGCCCTGGCCGCGGCTCCTTTCGCCGCGGCCCTGCGGGCGGCGCTGACGGGGCCCTCCGCCAGCGAGCGCGGGGAAGCGGGGGCCCCGCCGAACGCGGTGCCGCTCCCGCGCTCCTTCACCGCAGCTCGCTGGTTCCGCGCGTTGCTGGAGCCAGGCGAGGAGGCCCGCTTTTTCCCGCTGGAGCGGCGCGTGCATCCGCGCCCTGACGCGGCCGAGTGGCGGCGAGCCAGCTATCACGTTGAGTTGTCGCCTGCCCGCGGGAGGGCGGGACCGCAATGCTCGACGTCGTCGGGCCCATTCTTGGCCAGGAAGTGTATCGGAGTTTTCTCGCGCCCTTTCATCGTTCGGCGGCGCCGTGCGGAGCGCGCCGTCTTCTGCGCCCCCAGGGGCAACGTGGCGCCCCTGCGGGGCGCGGTGCAGCTCAAGAGCAGCGGAGACATGCTCGTCGTCGCCCAGGAGATCTCCTGGCGGGCTGCTCGGTGGCTCCTGCATCTCGAATCCGCCCAGTTGCCCAGGGAGTTCAACCTCGCCGCTGCCTTCCCGAGCCGACTCGCGGTCGTGTCTTACGCGGAGTTCCCAGCAAGGCCACGCGGCGCGTCGCGGAGCCCCGTGCCCGCGCGGCGCCAGGCGTGGCGGGCCTGGGTTCCCAAGTGAAAAGTGCGCACCGCCACTCGCGCTCGCGCGCGGTCGGGCGCCCCGCGGGTGCTCGGGCAGGGCGGCGCCCGGCCGCGGGGGCGGCGCCGTGGCTCGGCTCCCAGGGCACTGGCAGCGCAAGCCAAGGCGGCCGTGCCACGAGGCGATCTCAGCAGAGGGGTGGCTTGAAAAGTCTTGCGTATGCGTCGCCCCCGCCCCTAGAGGGAAGAGGGCGACGCCTGCGTCCAGGACGTCCCGGGAACGCGCCGCTGGAGCGCGCTGAGAACATTCTCGTCTCGCGGGCCCGCCTGTGTCCAGGGCGGAATTCTGGGAGCACTCCGCCGGAGCGTTCTGAGAACACTTTGTTTTGTACGCTTGGGATTGCTGCCGGCACCGCCGGGGTCGCCCCTGGCCCGCGGCGCCGTGGCGGCGGCCCCGGCGGCTCCGCGGCGCGGGCAAGGTCAAGACGGCGTCGTTTTGACTTCAGTTCCGGGGCTCCGCCGGCCCTCTGGAACATCGCCTGGGGGGGGGGGCTGGGCAGGGCGTCTCCAGCATCTCCCGGCCGCGGTGGGATCTGGCAGCCGGCCTGGCGGGGCGCAAACGGCGTCCCCAGAGATCCAACGTCGTGATTTTTTCCATACGGGGCCCCCGGAGGTCTCGACCCGTTCCCTGGGACTGGTTTTTCATCCTGAGTCGTTTTTTGACGGTCCCGGGGCCCGGCGAGGGCCCCTTGAGGCCGAAAATTGTGAAAAACCTCCGTCTTGATTTTTTCAGTACGTTGGATCTTTGGGGTCTGATTGGACAGGATATGCCGGGCGCCGGGGCAGCGCGCCCCTCGGCGCGGCGGACGGCAGCGCGTCGGGCCCCGGCCCGGCGCGGCCATGCCTGGCGCCGGGAGGCGGTGGCCCCCGGGGCGCGGCGGCGCAGCAGGGGGAGGCCGCCCTCCGACGCGCTTCCTGCGTGGCAAGGGGGGCGAATGTCGAGGCCATGCTGAGGCCCGCAGGTCGGCGCGGCAACATTCTCGCGACGTGTTCCCCATGGAGCAGGCTTGGGTACTGGGGCCCCTGTTGAGGCCTCGTTGGGGCAACGGTGAGGCCCTCGGGTCAGGGCCTCGGCATCCCGCCCGCGTGTTCCCCGCGTGCCAGGCTTGGATGCTGGGCCCCGAGTTGAGGCCATGCTGAGGCCCTCGGGTCAGGGCCTCGACGCCCCCCCGGCGTGATTCCCGCACGGCAGGCTGGAGTGCTGGGGCCCATGTTGAGGCCCTGCAGACGGTGGTCAACAGAACAGTATAAAAGGGTGCGATCGGGGGTGGACAGACCTCCTACCACGACACGCCGATTAGCGAATTGGCCGTCTTCGGTTCGCGAGAGGGCGTCGCGGCCGTCATTTTTGCGGGTCGGTTTCGGTCCCAGGCCGTTTTCACTAAAGGGTGTTTACCAAAGGGAGGTTTGTCCACCGCCGGGTACAGGGTGCGCATGCGGGCCCCGAAAAGTACCTTGCACGGTATCCCAGGGGAGAGCCCTGTCGGACATGGCCCATCGCGACGCGCCAGCATCGTAGTTCAGATTTGTCCCTAAAAGTCTGGATTCTCGTGTGAGGTGGCGGAGAAACGTCAGTTCTCCTGTGGGCGCTGTACCAGAACACGCCAGAACAGCGGGCGCCGCCTTTGTCCTTCCACCGTGATGCCTAGGGCGCGGCGGGCAGACCGTCCGCATCGAACGATCTCAACTCAAATCCAAAGCCGACTTGGAGAACTGCTGTATGGGCACGAGTTTGCGCAGCTTCGCCACGCCTCGCCCGCACGCGCGTCGCGCACGATACGAACCGAAACCGAAATCGATGTCCCGGGTGGGCGATTCTGTTTCGCTTCGATCTCACCCCTGAACTCCCGATCAGTTTGTTTTGTTTGTTCGTATTTGTTGGCCTGAATGGCGCATCATTCATGGTTTGGTATCTCAGGGCGCGTTTTGTTTTATGGCTTCGCAAAGCTATCGGGACAACCATCGGGACAACGAACGGGACAAGTGGGACAACCATCGGGGCAATCATCGAGACAACCATCGAGACAACCCGCATCCACCGGCCGGGCCGGGCCAGAGCGATTCACTTTGGCCAGGCTTGGTCTCTGCTATAGCGCGCAGTTCCGCCTTGCCTTGCCATGGCGCGCGCGCGTCGCACAGGACACGAAACGAAAACGACATCTATTTTTCAGTGGGTGACTCCGTGCCACTCCGGTCTCATCCCCGAAACTCCGGAATGGGTGGAGTGCCCGAGCGGTGTATGCATGGTGTATCTAGGACCGTTCAGGATACTTCCAGTATGGTCTTCCTCCTCGCCTCCGTCGTCTGATTTTCTCGGCCCGTTTTGCCGCCATCCTCCTGTTGCTCCGCCTGACATCTGCTCCATCCTCGACACGCATCCTCCCATTTCTGTCCCATCGCCGACTGTCCTCCTCCCGTCCTCCTCCTTCCATCCCGCTGGTTGCTCTGCCTGCCCGTTGCTTCTCCTGTCATCTTCTGCCATCCCACGCAGTCATCCACGTAATCCCTTGCTGCTGCTCGGCCTGGACAGTACTTTCATGACCCCAGGATTATAAAGAATCAGGATATCTGGGACACTTACACACAAGGCAGTTCGGGCTCCGTAAATTAGGACATTGATTATCAGGACTTTGGAAATTCCATTCGGGGAAAACGAAGAATGGAGAAGGCTTCGACGCAAGGCTGCAGTGTTCTCGGGCGCGTCAACGTCCTGGTTCACCAAATTCCCGTTCGGGGGGCCCTCGGGGCCGGCAAGAACAAGCACGTCTTGCTTGTCCAAGGCGTTGAAGGTCCGGGTCCTTCCAGGGCAGGGCAGAGGCGGAGTGGGCTGTGGCACCCACCGCCGTTGAAGCTGGAGTCGTTGCCGCCATGCCCTGGGGGCGCTTCTGCCGCCGCGAGACCGCCTCGGCCGCCGTCGTCAGAGGGGGATCGGGCGCCAGTTGCTCCTGCTCCGCCTCCTGCTGCCCTGGCAGGCAGACCTGCGCGCCGGGTTCGATCAGCTCCGCGAGGAGCTGAGCCCGGACGGCGGGCGACCGGAGCTCAAGACGTCGCGCAGGCCCGGCCAGTCACGTCGGCCGGAGGATGGAGGGCAGGGGCGCCTCTGCAGGTATTTTTCTGAGGCTCCGTGGGCCCAGAGCTGTGGCGTCGGAGCGAGTCGCGCTCGAGCCGTCTCGTTGCTTTCTGCGTCCGGGGGCCACTTCTGGGCCCTGGGGCCGTCCACGAGCGATGGAGGATGAAAAGCCGGTCTGGGGAACATTGTCGAGACCTCCAGAGGCCTGTGGTTCGATCGAGTCGGGTCGTCGTCGTCGTCGGAAGAGGAAGAGGAGGAAGAAGATGAGGATGAGGAGGTGAGGGCGGAGGACGAGGAAGAGGAGGAGGAGGAGGACCAGTGTAAACCCAAGAGTCATCAACGATGTTGAAATAAGCCCTCCCTCCAAGCTCCCTTTTCATAGGCCCCTACAACGGGTCATTTCCACTGGGGGAACTGCCTCGTTGGAAGACAACCGTTTGAAGACCCTGAAGCATGCCAAAACATTGTTCTCGGGATTCCGACGCCACGGACCAACCTGATTGTTGCGTCTTGACGATCCTTAATCGTGCCAGAACGCCATTCCTGGGAGTTCAGCACCACGAATCAACGTAACCGTGGCACCCTCATAGTCTTAAATCCTGACGACACGCACTTTCTGGTACGCTGAGCATGGGAATCCGTGAAACGCTCGCAAATTTTTAAAACGAATGCTCGCGGCGCTAAGGCGAGAGCCACATTTTGAAAAGGAGCCGCCCTCAATCTGTGAAGCTCTTGCATGTTGTACGCGGCGCCAAGGCGAGAGCCATATTTTGAAAACGGCCCGCCCTCAATCTGTGAAGCTCTCGCAATTCTGTTTAACGAATGTGCGCGGCGCTGGGGCGAGAGCCACATTTTGAAAACGACTTGCCCTCAATGCGTGAAGCTCGTAAAACGAATCTGCGCGTCGCTAAAGCGAGAATCACATTTTGAAAATGGGCCGCCCTCCGTCTGTGCAACTGTTGCCAATGTTTGAGCTTCAATGTAATACATGGTGAGGAAGTCTCAGGCGAAACGCCTGGCCCGCCCTAAAAACTGGCCTCGGGGTGCGACAGGGACAAGTTATTTATAACGAAAAGGAATGGAGGAGGAGGAGGAGGAGGAGGAGGAGAAGGAGGGGGAGGAGGAGGAAGAGGAAGAGGTGGAGGAGGAGAAGGAGGAGGAGGAGGAGGAGGAGGAGGAGGAGGGAGGACGAGCAGCAGCATCTCTGAACTCTCCTTTGCCCTCTCCCCCTTCTCCACGGCCTCCTCCTTCCTGTTCAGCACCCCTCCCACTTCCGCAGCTTTCGATTCGACGCCCCTGCCATCCTGCTACGGTGGAGGCCTTCGTTGAGGAACGTGCCCAGGAGGCTGCAGACCCCGGAGGATTCCTCGTCTGATGAGGGCGGCCTTGGTACGTATCCATGGCCGATCCACGATTGGAATTTCACCGGGTTCCAGACCCTGTATTCCTTATCTACTTGGCATCGCTCGGTCGTGTGCGTTGTTTCTCGGCGAGGGCCATCGAGGAGCAGATTGGACCATCTGACGAAACTGAGCCCACGACATCGAAACGTGCACGGGGAATGGACGTCCGAGCGATGGCAAGTCTGAGGGTTCTCCATCCAATGCCCTCACCGTGCTGCCCCCCCGTTTCTCCCGGCAGGGCCCGCCGCCGGGGGCCCGATGCGGCGCACCCGTGGACGGCAGGCAGGGGAGCAGCGCGCGCCTCTTGAGCTCACGGGAGGAAATACCACGAAGGAGGAGGAGGAGGAGGAGGAGGAGGAGGAGGAGGAGGAGGAGGAGGACCCCCATAATTGGCGTTTGCTGCGTTCGGTGGCACGCCTTCTGAGAAGGGGCGGGCCTTCTCAGAAGGCCCAGGAGTCCCCTGGCCTTCTGAGAAGTTTTCTAGGCCTTCCCCGAAGACGCAGAGCACTTTTCAGAAGGCCCGAGGGCTTCTGAGAAGCCCCGCCGCCTTCTGAGAGGGCCTTCTCCTTCTCACTTCCTCCCCTCGCTCGCCTCCGGAAAAGGCTTTAGGCGT